CTTTAAGGTCCCTTCCACCCCAAACCGTTTTGTGATTCTGTGATTATATGACTCTGTGCTGAGTGAAGACAAACAGAGCAACATTCCTTCTAGCTCTGCAGCTGCTTCCAGCGCTTTTTATGCAGCTGCCAGCTGGTGCAGCTGTGCAAACGGGGCTCGACCTGTTTCCATGCTTCAGATGTGACTGATATGCTCCTGGTCAGACATGGCCCAGGCCCTGGGCTGGAATGATTCCTGCCCGAGCTCTCCCTGCAGACACAGGGCAGCCAGCGTTGGAGGCCAGCAGTAACTCCACAAGACACTCACCTGCAACAGGTCCCGAAATTTGTTGGAGACGGCAGCCATGTCCGAGAGGCAGCTGTCAATCTTGGCCTGCGCTTGCTCACCGCCAAAGCCTTGTCTCAGCAGCTTGCTGCAGTCACTCTGCAGGGAAGAGAGCCACCAGCAAGTTGTAAATTAAATCACCTGGGCTGTTTTGATCCCTTCACGTTGCCAGGCCCTGGCTGCCCACCAGTGCACTTGCAGGCTCAGACAGGCTCCAAACTCCGGCCCTGCGAAGGCAGAGGTGAGGACAGCAAGAAGGGAAGCTCGGGGCTATCTAGCCCTGCACCAGAGAACCACAACCGCTCAGTGATGCGCCTTATATTCCACTGGCTCAGTGCCTGTGCCAGGTTGGTCAAACTGGAGGAACTGCTATTTCCAGATGCTATGGATGTATTAGCCCGAGAGTACTCTGCCAGCTCAAAATTGCTTTCCTAAGGCTGGAGGGAAAAGACCTCAGGAATTTGGGCATAGCATAGCAAAGTCCAGCTGGTTTATCTGACCTCCCCCAGCAAGGGAAGATATTACAAATCCGATTACGGAAAAAACAGTAAAGAATCCAGCCGCACCTCCAAAGTCTTCTTGAGGGTCATGATGTTTTCACTGCAGACTTCCACATTGTTTAAGGTCACCTGGAAAAAAAACAACAAAACAAACCCAAGTAGAATTCATTGGAATTTCCCAGCACCTCCCCTGATGTTTTCTCCATGTAGCTTATGCTACGGTCTGAAGTGCAGATATTTAAGGGGACAGAGGTGCAACTGTGTGATCAAAATACCACAGATTCACTGAGCTGAATGAAGCTGGACTACAGCAATGGGGCACGTCTGCAGCTAGTACAAAGTCTGGATTAGTTTACTCCACTTCTTTTCCTCATCCTTGTGCCCACGATGCTGCAGCAAAGCCCCACTTGTGGGTGACTGGTAGAAGACAGGATGTACCCCCAACTTTCTGGGAAAGTGTCACAAAGAACAGCAGACCAGGAGTGGCTGGAGGAGATGGTTTATGTGTCCAGAGAAGCAGGGGAGGCAGGACAGCATTTGTGTCTAGGCAGGAGAAATCAGCACCCCTCCTGCCAGATGAGTGTCTGTTCTTCACCGAACAGACTGCTCTCTACCTGCTGAACCTGAACTAAATGCCAGTAGAAGGCTGGGGTTTGTGCAGGCAGGGAAATGAGGCAAGCTGACAGGTGAATGAGGAATTCCAGCAGGAGAGCTGACCTTTTAAGCACTTTGCTTCAAGAAAGGTGGAAACCTGTAACCAAGAATTTAATGAAATGGAAGAGTTCCATCCCTCCTGCTGCCTTTGTTGCCTTCTCTCCTTGCACAGTGAAAGTCCCAAGGAGCCTCTTCAGCACTGGGTGTTCATGGCAACTGACAGAGAGGGAGACAAGCCAGGATGAGCCAGCCCCTCTCCAGCGCTCCCAGTCTCTGCCCACAGCTCTGCTCAAACAGCTGGGCTGGCCGAGAGGTGAGAGCAGATCCAAAGCTGCTCTCCCAGCGAGATCTCTTCCGCAATGCAAGGTCTGTACAGCATCCCACCGTGGGGGACTGCAGAAGATGGGTGTGACAGCCCTTCAAATGCTCTCCCAGGGGTCTATGATGGTCACTGCCGTGTTCTGGCCTGCTCAAGCACGCAGGGAGTTGCAGCGCTGCTGTCAGGAGAAAGGAACAGGAGGATCTTGCAGGCCAAGCTGGGCAGACAACCCTGCTCTAGTGGAAACTCTCTGATATGAGAAGTGAGAATGAAGGAGCCCTAAGCGTGGACCAAGAAACTTTCTCATCTAGAGGAAAGTGTGGATGTGATGCTCTCCCACCACCATTGTGCAGAGCCTGTGAAGAACAAGTTTGATGGACGCCTCAAAAGAGTACAGACTCTTCCCCAGCCTGGAGGGAATCATCATCACAGCAGCCTACGAGGCAGCCACAGGATCAGACTTGGACAGACCTGGTGTGGAAGCCCTACAACATGAGGTGAGGTAGAAGCATCTATCAGACTTCCAAAGTCAGGTTTTCAGGTCCTCTGAACATGTGATAGTCACACCAATCCTGTTCCCAAGAGCTCCTTGTTGTCTTTTCCCTCACCCCAACTTATTCTACACCAGAACAGCCACCAAACCCACCAGAAAGGATTGCTTGGCCTCGTCAGTGCTTTCAATGCCTTTGGTATCAAACTTGCCCTGCTGCAGGCTGCTGTGCATGATGTTCACGGCACTGGTCACCCCTCTCTGGAAGTCCTGGAAGGTCGTGGCTGGAAAGCCCTGCTTCAGCTTGTTGTACAGAACCTCCCTACGGAGTAAGCAAAACATAGCAGGGCTTAGAGCAGATACTGCAAGCCACAGCAGAGCTGTGCCCTGTGACAAGGGCCAGCACTCTGGCTGAGCTGTGACCTGAGCAAGGTAAGTGGAATGTCACAGGGACAAAGGAGGGCTGGCAAATATCTCCTGACAGCATCTAAAGGACATAAGGCTGAAATAAAAACACAACCCATCCAGTTTCTGAGCTTTCCCTAAAATCCTGCCTGCAGCTGTCTGCTGTCTTCAGGCACAGTTCCCCACTCCCACGCTGGGATGACAAACAGGAGTAGGACAATTTCTGCAGGCTGCCCCCAAGTTCAGGTTAGTAACCAATCTCACAAGCAACCCAGAGAACAACTAAGGGTGACTGTGTACCATCAGGCAGGGTACCAACCATGACCATGGTGACCCAGTTTCATAGGGATTTGGGGCCACAAAGTTGCTTTTTCTCTTTTACATCTGTCTGTCATGCAGGTGACCACCACCACTGTGGGAAAAGTATGCCCAGCTCCAGCTTCCCCCACCACACCCGACGCTGCTTCCTGCAAGAGTTTTCCATGGAGATGACAAACCAGAAGTTCAAAGCCGGAGAGCACAAGGAAGACCATCTGCCAGCAAATGCTCTTTGCAGAACATGAGGTGGAGGCAAGTTCCAATGAACCTGGTGTATTTTCGTTACCTGAAGTCAGACTCCAGCTCGGTGGTGGAGTGGTTGATCATGGCACAGAGACAGTCGATGCTAGAGCTGGACAGAGCACGCCCAATGCACTTCTTCACGATATAAAACACATCATCCACCATGCTGGAGGTCAGCTGGCCCTTCTCGTAGCTGTCCATGGCAACAGCCTGCAAGGAAAGCTGTCTCACTGCCTGGAGCTCAGAGAGGGAAGGTGCCCTCTCAGAGCAGTGCTGTGGCACCAAACTGCCAGCGTGCCCACTGCACCCTGAGCTGAACTGTACCACGTGTGGGCTGGCACCATGCAGCCTTGTTTTCTCTAGCCCATGGATCTGGAAGATCTGGCTCTGGAAGATACTCAGGGGTATGTTTGGTTTCCAAGTTCAGAAACAACCACTTGCTTTTCAAAGCCAAGGGAAGCAAAAGACCTTCCCAACAACTGCAGACCTGCCACGTACTCGTCTCCCTCCCTAGGGATGTTCAGCTGAGGACTGTGGCGCATGCGCAGAGGTCTCAGCTGCTGGCAGAGTGCCGGCTAGTGCAGGCAGCAGTCTGAGCCCTACCTTGTTGACGGTCTCCCTCATGAAGTATTCCTCCATGGTGATGTAGTAGCCAATGAGCTCTTGCATGGAGCGGCTCAGCAGACAGTTGTTGAGGAGCTTGTCCAGGTATTTCTGATGCTCTACAAAAAAAACAAAATCAGGAACCAAGTGCCAGAAAGCAGTGCCACCTAATCCCCTTGCTGCCTGTCTCATGGGCACCCAACAGACATGCGCCTGCGAAGCCCAACCTGGAATAAATCACAGCTCAACTACAGAGCTGAAAGATGTGAGTTTTGCAGGTGACAGGAGGGATTTCCAGAGCTCTGCGTAGTACCAAAACCCTGAGCTTGCTTCCCCTGAGACCTCCACCTTTAGGATCTGTGCCTACAGTGACCAAAGGTCCCTCCCTTTCTTTGGGGACCTTGTTTATTATGCTCTGCAGTCATTCCTAAGGTTGGTTTCCCTGTTAGGGGGAACAACTTGATCTGTTGGGACTAGAACATTGAACAAGGAATATTCCTGCCCCAGTCATACCAATTTACCCTTCTATCTGCCCTCCTCCCCAGTTATACATTGCTCAAGTGTTGCTTTCTCATGCAGGCATCTGCTGTGGTCACCACAGACACTTTTTCCTAGCAGAGCTGTAGTCACGAATCGCACAGCTTTCCAAGAGGCACAAAGATGTACCAGAGTTTGAAAACCCTAAGTACAGAGGGTGGTTATGGCAGGGCTTTGTCAAGGAGCCAGTGGTGAAAACAGATTTGGGGAGGCCAGGCTACACAATCCTCTTCCACGGAGTGCTCCCGAAGTGTCTTTGCAGATCCTGTGTCACCCTGCTCTGCCACTAACTCGGATATATTTCTGCTTCTGGCTGCAAGAAGTGGAGTGGCTGCAAGAAGTGGAGTACCTGCAAGTATTGGTATTCAGGGTGTTACCTTGCTTTACCTCCTCTGAGGCCATGGAGTCTCCCACCTCAAAATCAGCTATTATTCGTCTCTTGATGAACCTCAAGTAGAGCTCACTGCGGGCGTTCATCAGGGTGACTTCTGTTAAAATGGGGTCAAGTTCCCTGGAAGGGACATAGCAAGAATCAACAAAGCAAAACCACAAAGGGAAAGGCACTAATTTAACTCAGTTAAATAGTGTGTTCTCTGTGCTCTTACTATGAGATCAATACTTCTCCTTTCCATCTGTGCCGTCAAGTGGCAGAGCTCAGCAGAATAACTGGTACGTGCAAAGAACACACACACCATCAAAACGTCCTGAAAAAATCATTACAGAGAAGCTGCTTTTTTCCTCATGGATGTGAGAACAACCACATTAAAATCACAGCAGTAAGGACTGCAAGACTCTCAGCAGCCTGATACAACGTTAGAATTAGCCCTGTTTTGAGTGGAACGCTGGGCTAAAGACCTTTGGCAGTCCTCAGGTTTGCCATGATTCTCGGAGCCCTACACGGACAGTGGTCCCTGCCATCTCTGTATCCATGCTCTTGTGCACAGATTCATGTGTTTCTCTGAAAATGAGGAAGAATCTGTTTTAAGCTCAACAGCTCAGGAAATGTGAGACCAAAAAAAGCATGTGACAATGCAGAACAGTGTTCAGATCAGAGATGACTATGAAAAAAAAGACCATCACATAAGCAGCTTTTTCATCAGTGTGCACAAAATAACTTTACAAATCGTGCTCACTCTGCACAACACGCAAGTGGGACAAGGAACCATTACTTTTGTTTTATGGATGAAAAAGCAGAAGCTCAGAAAACCTGGGATGCATGCACAGTTACTCAGAGCACGTAGGAAGTGGATCTTTATATTTCTGCTGAAATAATCAGTCATGCAGGCTCCCAGACAGATCTCGCTTGATGAAGGTAAAGTTTTCTTTCAAGGCATGTTTTGAAGTCATGCAATGCCAGAAGGGCTGGGTGCACTTTCAAATGGTTTTACTTTAGGGCTACAGAAATATTAAGATAAAAAGAAAAGGAGGGAGACTGAAGGCACTTTGGTTCATTAGCAGGAAAACAGATCTTACAGTCACCGCAGCAGCAGTACAGATTAAATAGGACCCAAAGATTTATTCCTGATTCTGTAATAAATTATCTGCCCTGGGAGCTGCTCCATTTTGTGGGCTCTAAAGACTGTCCTCTGACCAGACCATCAAAAGGTGGTGGGCACAGGCAATTAAAGTCTCAGTCCTTTGTGGCACTGATATTGCCAGCCAATGTTTAGGGCCCAGGCTTAAAAGTAACGAGTAAGCAAAATAAAGCACCACCACAGAAGCTGCCTTTATAAAAGGGCAGTGAAGGGCACCTAACAACTGGGGTTTATGCTTTAGTAGCCACAAAGCCTCTGTAAGAGCAGGAGAGTTATCTAAATGCTAAGTAGTGTTAATAGCAGCTCAAGAGTGGAAGGTTAGAGAGCAAAAAGAGGTTTTGTTTGTACCTTGGTTCAATCTTCTCTGCAGAAGAACTTCTCATGATGCTATTCTGAACTTGCTGGAACTGCAATCACAAAAAAAGGGGGAGTCATCAAAGTCTTTGCTGATGACTTGGAGTTAACAGCCACTTCTCCGTGCTGTAGCCTAACGAGGTGCTTATTCAGGGCAGGTGATAGGAATACTTTGCAGGAAGGGCTGCCAGAGAAGGGAGCCGCAGCAGTTCACCTCCCCTGCCAAGACTGAGCTCAGCCTGTGAGGAAGGGTGGTGGGATGGAAACTCCCAACACAGGCACCAAGGTCTGTGAGACACTTAGAGCAGCCCTGGATCTAACAGACAGAAGCAGGAACAGGACAGTGGGGAAGGTGCACTGAAAGCACCCTACAGAGCAAAGAACTCTGTGTCCATTTACCACGCTCCCACTGACTCCTTCTCTGCAACAGAAGCGACAGCTACAGGCTCGACCCCTTCAACCACCAGCGCAAATACGGAGCAAAGCAAGGTTTCTCTCAATACACACCGTCAAACTTTGCCACCTCTATGGCAGCTGGAGCCCCATGGAGCTGGATGGAGGCCGCAGTTGTCTGCGTCAGGCAGCATCACACCCCTCTTACCTGCCTGTGATAGTCCCTCTCCTTGATGAACTTGTCCACCACTTTCTCCACCTGCCGGTCGCACTCCACTTGCAGGTGCTTGATAAGGGTGTACAGCCTGCCAGGCCCGTAGTAGGTCTCCACAATGGGCTGGTGCGTCTCCACAATGCGAGCAATCCCTGCGGGGAGAGGGGAAGCACCAGAGAGAAACTCAAGCAAGAGTTCCCAGCCAGTCTGGACCCAGAGCAGAGCTACACAGGTCTGCAGACAGGACCTAACAGGGGATTGTTCACTCCCAGACAAACAGTTTAGATCGTCCAGACACTCTCTAGTGCCTCACTGGAGGCCTGTCATTGCCACCGCTTGTTCCACAGCATCTTCTCTCTGCATACGACACCTTCCATTCTCCCCGCTGTTTATCGCAAGGCTGCAGTGCAAATCTCCTGGGGTAGAAGCCATCTTTCTTCCTAAAGAGATCCCCTGCCATGCGATGTGTGCCAGCTGCCTCCCTACCCAGCAAGATAACAAGGTATGAAGCTTCCACGGGAGAAAAAACCTGGCAGGGGACATAACTGCCATCCAAATCCAGCCTCAGCTTTCAGCACCTAGTAGGTTACACAAGAACGGTGCTAGGAGAATCAGGCTAGGGAACGCCCTGCTCTGATCTGTCAGGCACATACCCAAGAGAGCAAGCGTTAGCGAAGGCAGGACCTTCTTGGAGAAAAAGCTCATCTCCAAGGACCTATCTGTCCCAGATTGCTTTCTTAACACAAACTCTCTACTCTAAGAGTTAACAACACTCCCCCTCTTTTGACACAACTGCCAAGAAAGCCTCGGTGGCTCTAAGGACCTTCAACAGCAGCAAGGGTGCCAGGCTGGGAGAGTGACTTGGCAGTAGCACAGCCTGGAATTATAGCAGACTTAATGGAGAAGGCAGTTAATCACCATGGGATCTCAATTACTGTCTTTGGCGACATTCCCACAGAGCATTCACATTCCCTTCTCTCCCTTCCCTCCCTGCTTTCAAGCTCCCATGGTCCTCCTTGGAGCGCCAAGCCTAGAGGCATCAACAGCTGCTCAGTCTTAGGGGATCTGATCCGTTTGTCTGGAGAGCTGCATGTCTGAACAAACCTTCGGCAAATACCCGTTTGTTTTCAGGATGCAGAGAACAGGAAGAATCTGATCCCTGGAGGAAGCCAACAAATCCTTTGCAAATCCACTTTGTGCCTGTGCAAACTGTACACAGGAAAGCTTGCTTATTGTAGTGCCCTCTCCTGGCCGGGAAAAGGTCTATTAGCTGTGCCTCTGTACCTCTAGTGGGACACTCCCATAGCTCAAAGGGGAAGGAAGCGTTTTGTGATCTCCTGGAGCTAAAACTAAAAGCATTTAAATTGATGGACAGTCTCATCACAGACTATTTTCAATCCATCAGCAAAGAAGAAAGGAAGATTACCTTCGAAGAGGAGTGTCAGGGTGTCCGCAAAGATGACAGCAGCTCGACGGTCACTCATGTCTGTCCCCATCACCAGCTGCAGGTTCTCTTCTGCTTTGTTGGCCACCTGCATGGCAACAGGACCAGTCAGCTGATAACACTCAAAGACCTCCATCCCATAGGGTGGACCTCTGTCCCCTGCCCTGTAGAGCTTTTGCTGGCCTCCCCATTGCAAGAGCTGTTGCTATTGTCCCTCCTTTGAACAGGGATCCTTTCCTCTCTTATGGAAAACTCAAGGATCAAGGAGAGGCAAAAACTTGTTCTTTTTCCACGCTCCCTTGTATGCTTTAAGCAAGCACAGAGTAAGACACCGATGGAGAAGCCAGGCAGCCAGCAGGATCTGTATTCGGGCACCAGAAATACCATCCCAGGGAGCAAACCACAGGGAGACAGATGAACTAAGGCCAGGGATGGTTTCTAAGATTAACAAACCAGAGCCAAGATCTCCTTCCACAACATCTGTTGACAGAGACCGGGTTTTGCTTTCCCCTAGGAGACCAGACAGGTCACAGGATGTTTCACAGAACCCGTTACCTGCTTGCAGAGGTACTCGGAGAACTTGCTCAGCCCCTCTTCATGTAAGCCTAACAGAGGAAAGATCTTGAAGAACCGTTCCACCTGGGGCAGGTCTCCCTGCTTCATAGCTGTGTCAAATTTCTCTGTGACAATTGTCTTCAGGCGCTGCTCTGCTTCCTGCAGGAGCTTCAGGTTGGCATCAATTATGCCCCCTGGTCAAAAGGACAGAAAAGAAAGGGAAAAGGGATAGCACAATGTTAGTACCATATCAAGGGCTACTTTTTTTCCCAGCAGAGAGACTGGTACTGTGCAGCCCTAGAGTGAGAAGGCAGAATCCCCGCTAAAGGCAAAGAAAGATAGGTACATGTGTGATGTACAGCCAGCCAATGTCATGGTCTTACATGGAGGATGTGAACACATTAACCGGGACTTTTTTTTAGGGATCAGGCAATTTACTACTTCATTTCCACTTGCTCTGCTTGGTAGCACACTGGAACACTGCAACAGTTCTCCCCGACAGAGCCTTCTCCCTCACTTCTTGTGTCCTGCACATTTTGTCCTTCACCTAGTTAGCACCTGAAATGCTATTAAAGCCGTGTGCCAGGAACTCTCCTTTCAATTAATGACAATTCAAACCTAGTAACGCTTCAAAAACATTCCTGCCTATGTTAGTCTATAACATACTAAGATCTTTGGCTGGCATTGGATCTTCTGCTTTGTCTATTGGGCTGAGGCTGTCATGGGAAGTCATGCAGTCTCCAGTTATATTACTGGAAAGGTGACTTAGCTTCTCGTCATGAACAGTACTTACCTTCCTTGCCCTGACGACTGAGCTCAATCACTGATTTGTCCAGAGACAGATAGCGATGGATATGAGCTGCTGCTTGTTCGTAATCTTCATTTTGCAGGGCTGTTTGAACTCCATCCATGCAGAACTTCAGGTCAAGGATGTCGTCAGCTCTCTGAATGGCCTGATAGAGTCGATTCTGCAAGAAAGGTGACCAGTAAGGCCTCCTGCTGCAGGCTGGATGAGGCAAAGAGAATTATGAGGAGAAGACAGCGTGGGGGGAAAAAAGAAGGAAGAAACAGACCGAAACAATACTTCTCTCCACAGTAAACAACTACATAAGCAGAAACCCCAAACTACTTAAGGAGTCATAAGACCAATGACTCTGGAAGATGAACAGCATTTACCCGTCAAAGCTCGTATTGAACTCGGAGGCCATACTGCACTTTAACAAACAGGCAGAGACACAACCACACGTTATCTGTTTTGGTTTGAGCAGTTGTGCTAGCGCTGGGACTTGACGCCTCTTGGCCTATCTTTGTACAAAGAATATGACAGCCCAGATTCCTGCCTGGTCAGAGGTGAGAAGGACCATCTCCACTGTCCTCAGTACTGCAATAGTTCACAAAGCAGTGCTAACGAAGACTAACCTCAGCTTATTCACCATACTCTACCAGGAGCTGTGTGGACAGAAGGGGATGCTGGAGAACCAGCCGCTATATGAAAAACCACACGCGTTATTTACTCTTGTATCCTGCAATATCCAGGAGCCCAGCGAGATACCTTTACCTTACAACACTAGAAAATGCTAAAACAAAGAATGAAGCCATTTCCAGCCCACCCACCCACTGAAGAAAAGAGCACATTTCTCTATCGCGCTGTGAGCATATAAGCAGACAGAACATGCCTTGGTGGTGACGAGTCCCAAACACCCCCTAGGTCCAGTTACCTTGGCAAGGTCAAGCTGGCGGACTTTACTGCTGACGTTCTCGGCCAGGTTACAGGTGAAGGTGATCATCCCTGCCAACTGCTGGGCGTCCCCCTGGATGAGCTGCAAATTCGGGCTGGAAACACAAGTGAATTGACCGTGAGATGGAAATATTAAGTAGTCGGATGGTCTGCAACAGCAGGATGGTTCTTCCTCTAAACACAACTGCTCCTGTCAGCAACTGTATCTCTCATTTCATGCCCCTCCTACAGGAGCAAAGTGTCAAAATCAAACAGACTGTTTCGGAAGAGGTGGCACAGACAAATGACGGTCTTCTACCAGACAGGGCATGAACGAGCCACTGAAGCTTTAAGATACTCCCCACTTCTGAAGCGGGAGATTAAGTCTGTGAACTTGTGCTTCAAGCTTCTACTAGATGTGAGGCCACTTACGATGACTTTCCAGGCCGCCTGCACAAGCTCATCACCAAGAGGCAGGAATATTTGTCCATACCTGTAAACAGCCTGACACCAGACATCAGATCCAAGCATTGATGCTGAAAGCTAACAACATCGGGGCTAAGACCTTAAAAGAACCGGGATGAGGATCCAACTACGCCTCCCTACCACAAACTGATCTAAAGTCTGATGTTTTCTGAGAATGAATGTGCTTTCCTCACAACACTGGAATGAATTCTCACGCCATGCAGCAATCAGGGAGGTACCAAGCAGTGCCCAGAAGCAGAAAGAAGGGGTCAGGGTGGGGATCACTCACCCCATGCGATGCAGTGCAGCCATCTTGTTCTCTATAGTGCCTTGCTGTTCCAGGAGGGCATCCAGCTCCTCCTGCACGACTTTCTGAAAGAAAAGGACGAAGGAAGTCTTGTGTGACTTCAGCTCTCCTCCAGGCAAGCAAGGCGTTAGATCTTCCAAAAGCTCATTAGATCCTTCCTAAGCTCTCATTTTAATCCTGTAAATATTTATATTTATGCCATTTCAAAGCATCAGTTATGCAAAGCTCATCACTCACTCCTAAGGCAGATAACCCACAACCTCTCCCCCCGGCTGAGCTTCCAGCGCCCGGGGACCCCGAGTCCGCAGCCTGCTCACGGCTCGAGGACACGAGTCCCGCGGAGGCGACACCGCTTCCCCCCGGGGCCACGGGACGGCGACGCCCGTATTTAAT